CCAGCACCACCGCCACCACCACCGCCGCCACCACCACCACCACCACCACCTCCACCACCACCACCACCACCACTACCACCACCACCACCACCACCATGGCATACTCTGACACTTCCACCAGGAGCTCGCGGCCTACACCACCTCCGGCAAACCATGGGCCCAGGCGAAGCATAAACTGTTGCTGGAGCTGCTTAGCTTGTACTTTAGCTTGTACTTGTATTGTGATGTCGAAAACGGCACTTCTTAGTCTGAAAATTGCAGTTCTTGCTGTTTGCGACGTGCTGGCGTTCCTGCAACACCTACCGGATCCGATCGTCAGCGATGCACTCAAAGCAGGTGCGAGCCTCTACCAGGCCAGGCTGCGATTGTGAACAGTACCGTGATCGTACCAACATAATTAATGATGAGGACCCTGATTGTTTCCTTATTGTCGACACACACTACAACAACTGAGTAACTGAGTAACTGTCATTGCAGCAGCACTACTACTGATGAATGGTCGTCCTGATCTATCTTTTCTTGTCTTGTGGCTAATGTCACGAATGACAAGTTGTCATCACACTTATTAAATGTGCAAGCGCCTAGCGTCTAGCGTGCTAGCAGTAGCAGCCGCATGTGTCTGTCAAGGTTGTCGTCTCAGGCCTTTGGGCCTAGGTCCTGTTTTTTGTTTTTTAAGGGGGGCTGCAAGGGATTAGGTATGAACTTCAGTTAGCTGTAGGCCATTTTTTGGGGGAAGCGAGGGCATAGGTATAGACTTGGGTTTAGTTTAGTCTTTTGTCTTTGTGAGGACGTGGACCTCACAAAGGTGTTTTCCACGGCAGCAACAGGCGTGAAGCTCAGGATCCGAATCTTCTGCAGAACGTGATCGACGTCCAAGCCACTGACTTTGCTTGTGCTGTCATCCGTGATATTTGCGTTTGTAAGGTCAGCCTGATCGGGCCTCCGGCTATCGTGCTGCTGGGACGAGGCCCGGAGCACCTGCAGCTGTTGAACGCTTGGTTCGTCATTGTTGAGAAGCACAGTTTGGCATGTGAGGCATTGCCTGAATTGGGTGATAATGTGGCTCGACAGCAGCAGACTTGCATGGGGTTGACAGCAAAGATGCACGTGGGCATAACAGAGAGCTGTTGTTTCATCCTGCATTCTCAGCTCTGGTTAATCTAGACGAGCAGCCTTCCAACATGAGACCTGTCTTCGCAAAGCTGATAACTCGAATGCAGTAAATATACAAATCACGGTCACCCCTGCATGTCACCCCTCAGCTCCAGACAGCATGTCCATGTGGCTGTGACTTCAGGGGCACATGTTCAGCAATCCGGTAGCCGGTAGCGGCTAAGGCAAAGGGCCAGGTTTTGAGTGAAGATGACAACGGCGAAACATCGGTGTAGCAAAGAAAGATCTAAATGGTGTTCTGCAAGCTCCCGAGCTGCCGTGATGGCACCACGTTGGGACTGGCAGCAGGACCCTGATGGCCACATGACATGATTATAAACAGACAGTCATTCTCAGACATGTGTCAGGACAACACTCGACGTTGGGGAGATTGGGCAGCTCAGGAGGAGACCCTGCATTTTACAGGCTGTCAAAGTGGCTCCGGATACTTCCTGCCAGGAGGAAGCTTCTTGGTGGGAAGACTCGCGGATGCAGGCATCATCATGCTGGTAGTTCCTGAAGGTCTGCCGAGTCTCTTTTTCACGCCTGTTGCCAACAGGCCTCCACGGCCAGGAGGATGCCACCCTCCAGCAAGTGGGGTGACGCACCCCCACCAGCCCCGCCAGGCCCACCACCCTACGGGGGCAGGACCGCGACCCCCGCCAGGGCCACCTCTGGGCCCACCCCGACAGCAGGGCAGGTGCCACAGGAAGCACCCCCGCCAGGGCCACCTCCGGGCCCACCCCCAAAAGGGTGGCAGGTGCCACCCACTGCCCAGGCCCGGCCGAGATTCAAACACGGTTGACTTTCTGTGCTGCTGTTGACCAGGTCCGTTCAGAAAGCCCCATATGTCATAAGCCTTATCCTCGCATAAAAACAACTATCCTCGGCCAGGTTCAGAAGGAGGCAGAGGAGGAAGAAGAAGTTGAAGTGGAGGAGGAAGAGGCATGGGTCAGTCTAGTAACTGAGCGCTGGTGAGAGTGCTCAATGTTGTGCTGGGGAAAGTGCGGTCACCGGTTAGTCTGACACACAGTCACTGCATTGCCCTGCAGGCACCGGCATCTTCGTCGTCACGGCAGACGAAGACAGTACCACACCCTAGCCCAGGTTCCTGGATGAGACAGCCTTCGAAAGGAACCCTGAAATACTTATGAAGGCACCGACATTACGGCTTGAGCTCTTTAGAATTTTGGCTGAATGGGGGAGGTTAGGCGATTCAGGGCTCGGGGTCGCCAGGGCTTGCAATTGCAAGGCACACGGCCTACATCGCCACACCTGAAACCCCTAAAACCTAAACTCCCCCAGCCCTTAACCCCAAAACACCCCTAAACCCTAAGCCCTAAACCCTAAGACCCTAAAGCCTAAACCTTTTCCAGCTTCAAGAGCAGGGCCCCACGAGCTTTGGCCTCCCTTCTCAGTCTAATCTTATGCTTAGAATGTTTACCTGGGTTTAGGGTTTAGGGATTAGGATTTTTACCTGGGGTCCTTGTCCGGGGATTCTTGATTTAGTGATTTTTCTGGTGTGCTATACCCGAAACCTTATAAACCCTACAAGCCCTAAGCCAAATAAATTTTTGTCTCTCTGTATGTGTATATGTATGTATGTATGTATATATATATATGCAAATGGCGTCCCCCCTCTGGTACCTACCCTGTTTGCTGTTGTTACCATGGGCCTACACTTCTAGTGGTTCAGGCTGGTACCGGGGTGGGGAGATGCCCGATATGCAATATCTGCGCCCGACATGCCCTATCTATGCAAGCAGTCCTAGGAGCAATATGTAAACCGTATTGATGTAATTATGCCTTGCGGTGTGCGATGCAAGTCATTGTCACTCGCGGTTTGTGATATCCGGGCCGATTCAGTTGAATCGGGTCGATTCAACTGAATCGGGTCGACCACAACCTTTATCGCGCAGACCTCTAGAATAGCCTATTCAATAGGGTTTACCTGCGGAAAATCAAGAGGAGCAAATCAGGAATCTAGGGAATAACCTGTAGAATACCTACCCACTCCATACACAGTAAAGCATGTCATATAGAATACCCGAAGTACATATCACCCCCTTTTTACCTCCCATACAGAATACCCTAGAGGCTTTTGAATACCTCGTAGACTACTTTCCTCTATATACCCTATAGGGTACCTTATACAACACCTTCTGGAATTCCCTATGCACAGAATGCATTGTATAGCGCCCCTTATATACCTTATAGCCTTATGCAATACCTGTGTTTTCTGTCTCTCCCTGACGATAGGTGAAGGCAGCTGCTGCAGCAGAAATGGCCAAACAGCCGTGGTGATGAATGCTTCCGAAGCCTTCTGAGTTTTGCCTGCTTCTGCAGGCAGTGAGCTTGATTAGTTCAGGCGCAAGCCGTGTGAGTGATTGCATCCATACGGAAACCTGGGCCCTGAGGCTAAGCCGACTTGGAAGCAACCTTGATATCTCCAATGTACCAAACTCGATTCCTATGGCTTTTCTCCGAGCCATGCACATAATCACTTTGCTTACACTCTTGCCTTGGGGTACTAGGGTTCTGAAGTTCAGTGGGGAACTGCATGGGTGCATTCAGCTACAATAGCACTTGTTCCTGTGGCACGTGGCCGGCTTTCCAGTGTGCGGATCATGCTGCATAAGCCCTAGACCTCGTCCGTGCAAGAAAACCGAGAGCGTGCAATTGCAAGTCAACGGTTTTTTCAAAGGGTTTAGGGTTTAGGGCTTAAGGGCTTGGTTCCGGGTCCGTGAATTCACGAATATCTTTATCGAATGCAGTGCATAGCACAACCGACAGTCTGCATCGCATATCGAGCTTCCCGACTTGGCCACATGTATACATGTCAATGGAATCGCTCTTTTCAGGTACTTCTGCTGCTGGGGGCTTCACCATCGAATGGGGAAGCGAGGCCTGGCGGGCCTTGCGAGAGCAGGCCTCCTTGAGGCTCCTGCGAATGAAGGTCGGAGCTGCCACGCTTGATTGACCTGCGGCATTGAACTGTGTGTTGCATTAAGGAGTGACAGTGTTGTAACATGCAGCAATGCAGCTTTTGATCAGAAGCTCATTTCCTTGCATTGCTGAGTGCTGAAGAATGCAGTGGTGTACAGTTTCTGACAAGCAGACAGCAACACCTACAGTTTGTGAACCAGACAGCAACATTGTCTGCTGCCATGCCTCCGACGGTGGATGTTCTCGTGCCAAAGCTCTTTAGCCTCGGTGCCCCAAAAGTCACTAGACTAAATAGGAGATATGTTTTATTTCTCAATCTAGTTGTCTACCGGGGCTTGTCTGCTCGTGTGATAAGTGCTCTCGTGGCTCAGGTATTTGTGCTCTGTGTCCTCCTGATCCTGTGGAACACAGACATTTGCTTGCACAAGGACACATGGTTGGGATATAGACCGACTGTACTTCTCTGTCACACTGATTTCTGCTAGATTCTAGATGGATCACACACTCCTCAACCCCCCGCCCCCCCACCCCAATAAAACGAATCTTCCCCAGACTTCAAGCCCAAACCTGAAGCCTCCCGCTCAATTAAACCGCAACCCAAAAACCCTAAACCTCCAACCCTATGGGGGTTTGCCGGGCACAGGAGATAGACTTTATCGAGCACTTCGCTGGCTCTGCTACACTGACCCACGAGGCTCGTGCATCAGGGTTTCGAGCAGCAGCTTTGGACAAGATCTACGGGCAGGGCTTGGATATTCTAGAGCCAAGTGGCTTTGGGTTCCTTGTTATGAGCAATGGAGACCTTTTTCCTGTGGTCTTGTCTTGACATGTTATACGAATTCTCTCTCCCTCTCTCTGCCTCAGTCTCTCTCTCTCTCTCTCTCTCTCTCTCTCTCACACTCTCTGTAACTGAGGACATTCATTGCAACAGTACTTATGGGGAAGCCTGATGGTTTTTTGGACTGGTACGGAGTACTCTGTTCATCATGGGTGTCCATTGCAAAAGGGAGCACACGACGGTCGTTTGTTCTACCACATGGATACACCGAGTTCCGCTCTGTAGTGGAGGGGAACTTGATGGCAGCGCGGCCTCTGGGCTGAACTGGGCTTCCGATTGCAGGTCGAAATATGTAGCAACGTGCGAGGGAGTGATTGCTGAAATTGTGCTTCTCAGGGTGGCGTTTCTGCTGCTTCTGGTTATTGCCTCGGGCGGCAATTTTATTGTCGAGCAACCGAGATCAAGCTTGCTATTTCGACACGAACGCATGCAGTGGCTAGCGGGTCGCCTCAGGGTGCCTAGGGCTTCTTATTGAAAGGAACATGAGTTGGTTGGTGTCGTAGGAATATATGATAGCTGTAGTTCGTGCTGTAGGAATTGTTCAAAGTCTCTTTTGACTTGTCTTTCCGAGATCTACCGGCTGTCAATCTGGATGGGCTCCTATGGCTCGCCAAGTCCGAAACCTACCTTATTGTGGTCGTCTACGTCTGCTATCACAGGCTTCTGGAAAGAGAAGTTCCACTTGAAGGAGTTCAATAATTCTAGGGACCCAAGCCTTCGACCGGTGCGACGATACAGGGACAAAGCTGGCAAACCAAAGTTCGTGGGTACCAAAGACCTTACCAAGACGGGGAGACTTCACCTGCAAATATGCATGTGTATAGAATTATAGATGTACTGTAGAGAACCTCCAATAGGGCTGTGGAGGCCGTACTGTTCAGCTAGAGGATGATGGCTTATATCCAATGCAGTAGAGTGCTTTCCGCCCAAGCTCCCCGTACTGTGCCCAAGTGATGAAACAACCCTCATATCCAAACCCCAAGTGGGCCCAACCTAAACCCTAGACTCTAGACCTTTCCTAAAAATAAATTTCCAAAACCCTAAACCCTAAACCCTAAACCCTAAACACTTCCCTTCCATCCGAGGAAATATACCACCAACTTCGCGAGAAGAATGCTGCACCTCTTCGACGACTTGAAAGAGCAGCCTGGGACATTGAAAGTGCAGCTTCGCAGTGCTGCAACCGGTGCCGATGCAATGGACATGTTTGCTAGTGCTTCCTACGATGATATGTGCAGTGATGCAAATCTTAGAGAAGTGGTGATCTACTTGAGGGGGTGCCGTGGCCTCCAGATCCCGCCAGCTTGGCGCCCGCTGTTGCCGGAGTACCTCTGAAGTGTGCGCTGCTGGGTGAGCAAAATAAACGAATGTCCTTGTGTGTGTGTGTGATTGGTCTATCTTCCTTCTCTCCTTACTCTCCCTGAGTCTCTGGTCGAGGTCGGGATGGTGGGGCCATGTTGGGGCCTAACGGCTTGTCTGGGTCGAGGACACTGGGGGGGCCTATCTGACTCTGTCACTCTCTCTCTCCCTATTCTATATATCTACCTTTTTCTTACTCTCTCTCTCTCTCTCTTCTCTGTCTCTCTCGCTCTCTACCTCTCTCTGTCTGTTCCTCTGGGCATTACTAATCTCTCTGTCCGACCAGACCTTCAATTCCTGAGTATCTGTTCTTTCATGACACAACCCAAGCAAATGACTTCTGACCGAAACACAGCATGGCTTGTTTACTTTGCTGACTGTGCGAGAATCGAGTCTGAGAGAGTTCAAGAAAGAGAGCACAGACACCCATAGAGACCCAGAGACAAAGTGAGCCAGGGAGAGAGAGAGACAGAGAGAGAGAGAGAGAGAGAGAGAGAGTGAGATAGACAGATAGATAGCAAAAGGTGTCAGGTGGGCATGTTCCTGATCCAAAGTACAGAAGGAAAGACCCAGAGACAGAAACGGTGAGAGGTGTGAGTGGGTGCTTGAGAGAAGCCGGCACGTGTCTGTTCCAAGGTTAAGTAATGAAGGAGAACAACCACCAGGCATTCTCAATATGTAAGAGGAAGGACAGAGGGAGTCAGGGAGGGAAACGGAGACGAAGGGGAGGAGGTGACAGAAGAGAGAAACAGCAATACACAATCGGATCCGAGAATGATAGAAGAAGTCTACTGGACTCGGTTTGCCAATGCCCCAGCAGCTCTTTCAGTGTCTGTCAGCCACAATGGTCTTTGTTGCTAGATTCTCTTCTAGATATCCGAAACCCAGCTAGGATTGTTTAGGTTTTGGGCCTCTTTAGATTAGATAGGTTGGTTTTGCTATGTGTTTGTGGCCGTTTTTGGGTACTTTTCTAGGAGGAGGGGGTTCTGCGACCGTAATTTCCAGCCGTGCGGCCGTAACTCAGGCTCGGCGACCGTAATTGCAATGGTGTGCGACCGTAAATCCAAACGAACACCCGTAATTCTACATCCCGGCACCCGTAAATCCAACCCACACCCGTAATTCCCTAAAGACCCAGAAAACCGGCGACCATAAATAAACGTAAAAAATCCAAAAAAGAGCGTAAAATAACCATAAATCCGCGTAATTGTTCCGAGGGCTAACGACCATAATTCCGATGGCTGTACTGCTTTGGTTCGACCCAATGAAACTCATACTTGTACAAGTCTGGGCCTAGATTTTGAGCTCTGCTGTTCTGCATCGGGTGACTAGTCTATGGCTAAGCCAACCAAGCTTGTGAGCCGCACTTGGAGCGGCTCATCGATGCTGGCCGGCCTGCAGAGCGTGAAGCAGGAACTGCCGGATGACCCGGCCACGCTGCAGATGATGATTCAGGAGTTCACGACTGGTATGAGTTCCTAGCTCCTCTGCTATGCATGTGAACCCGAGCACTGTGCTAGGAGATGCAGGCGAAGTTGGTTAAGCAGCAAGCTCCTGGATCTCCGACACCAACTGTGCCAGCAACAGAGTCGCAACTTCAGAGTGCGGGGCTGACTGCAGCTACAGAGGAGCCCGTGCAGGTGTCACCCCATGCCCAAAAGCATGTGTACTTGAATTGAAACGATAGTAATCATGCAATCACATGAACAGGAGACCGACGACAAGCCGTGTCTTTCTGATGCCTACATGGTGAGCATATCCGATGATGAGAATGATGAGGACCTCAAGGCTCGACTAGTGTTGTTCTTCGTGTTTTGTGAGTGTGCTTGACTCTGTGCGTGTGTGTGTGTGTGCGTCTATGTCTGTATGTTTGTGTGTAAATGTATGCAAGTTGAAATGTTCCTGGCTTTCTGATTAAACAATATGATCTCCCTAAGGATCGCCTTGCCGCTGCTACGCCTCCTCCAAAGCCCATGCAGACTCCTGGGAAATCCCCCATGCACACCCCTCGGGAGAAGATCATCCCGAACCAGAGCCCATCGATGCCAAAGGCTGTGACTAGGTGCAATTGAACCAATCTAAATCTTCTTAGGCTCAGACAATGCCACACTCCTGTTCGATTTTGGTCCAGCCTCGAAGCAATGCTGAAGTGTACTTTTAAGCCAAGTTTATTCTGTTCTAGCTGATATACAAGATGCCTTTAAAAGTTTCATATTGTTCTTCAGCTTAGGCTGATGATGACCAGCAGACTATGCTGTTGCAGCTGATCCAGGCCCAGCAAGCTATGATTGACAACTTGAAGCAGCAGAAGGCAACCGCCCAACAGCCCCATCAGTTGCCTCCTGCTCCTGAGCCCGTGGCCCGTGAAGAGCCCCAGCAGCAAGTTTCGCCACCTCCATCATCCGACAAGAACAAGGACCCGGGATTTGGCACATGAGGTTTCTTCACACATTCTGGGTTTCGATAGCCGAGCCTGTGTGACTGTCCTATTCTAGAATCACGATTCCTTGCTAGGAGCCTCCTGGCCAAGCTCCTGCTGAGCAGCAGGAGCCTGAGAAGGAGACCAAAGGGGAGGAGCTCAAAATGTGGAGGAGGATGGAAGCAAAAGTCCGTCGCCTGTGCGACACCACTAGCACAGGCAAACTGCAGGTTACATCAGAGCTGCACGAGTTATGGCTCAAAGCTGGAACAACACGAGATAACCTCATACAACTTATGATCGACGCGGACGGGAAGAAGGACAGCACATGAGTAGCAGCAGTTCTTAACATTTTTGGAAAATACAGAACTGATGATTGCTTCAAATCTGAGACAGGATGAGTTCTTGCGGAAGGTGGACATCTTCAAGGAAACTCTTCGCTACAGAGATGAGGGCACCGATGGAGGGTTCTATTGCAGGGATGATATGATCAAGAAGGTTCCAGATGGAGGTTTGGGCTGGAGCGTGAACTTAGATTGCAACTGTTATTTCGATTGTGTCTTGTGCATTTACCATGCAGATATGTTGTGCTGCTAATGTAATTTGTTCTCGGGAACTCAGGAAGTGTGCGGACAAGGTCATTCAATGGTGCAGGGAGAACCAACCCGCCCAGAACATCAGGAGACAGTGCTGCTGCGACTCAACATGTATAATAATCCCTGCTGCTTCCCCTTGCTTCCTGTCACTTCACACAGGATGAACAAGTACGACAATGAGCTCGAGGAGTTCTGGTGTGACAAGCGCACCTCTGGACGGCACGGGTTATCTGAACGAGAGGGCCTCAAGGAGTCCACAAGTGCAAGTGGAGCCACGGACAGCCTCGTGATCGCTGGCATGAAGGGCAACCTCGATCAGTCCTGGGAGCGGCAGACCCCGGGAAAATGTGAGATCGAAGCTCCCAAGCCGGCTGTGCCACCGCACTAGACATGACCAACTGTACTGCAAGTGTTTTTAGCTGTGATCAAGAAATGATATGAATCTTAGGTAAAGGATCAAATCCCCCAGTATATGAAAGAGTCCGTGGCGGCCCGGGATAAGCTGAGCAAGTTCATTGGCAAGCTCGATCTAGATGATCCTGCTGTGAAATTGTGCCTGTGCTTGAATATTGTGGCTACCTGGTTTCCGGTCTTTTCAACAAGTCTTTTGTCATCTATCTAAGGGAACTTCCGAAATTGACGGAGATCATAGACGAACTGGGCAAGAAGTATGATGAGCTCGCCGCCATGCAGGCCGAAGCCAAGATTGGATCCGTGAGTGATGCGTGCTTTGGCTAAAGAGTCTGGGGCATATCATTCCATATCTTGCATCTGCGATAAGAAATGACTCAGGCAGCTGGAGAAGATCGAGAAAGTGTTCGAGCATGTGAAGCGACAGAGCCTTTGATGCAAGCTCATTCCTTAAAAGCTTATCCTTCCTAGCAACACCTAGTAAACCCTAAGCAGCCCTACACCCCAAACTTTGAAATTCTTAAAGTCTGCCCGTTCGGTAGCCGGAACCCACAACACTCTACCTTAAGCCCCCAGCCAAAAGCCTTGGATCCAAACCCATCCCCAAGCCTAAGCAACAACCCCCCAAACTTAGCGCGAAGCTCAAAACTTTGACACCGGACAACATTGGCCTGGGTGTTTCAGTGATCTAGATTCTAAATTTAGAAATGCTTCCACTCTTGTTTTCTGGTGACCCCGAATATCCTGAGACTTCCCCAGGATGTCCTTGGCCATCTCCTCCGAGGTGAAGAACCGGCTTCTTGACCTCGTTAGTTTAGGATTGCAAGGTTGGGCCACGCATGCAGCTAGTTTCGGGACTGTGTTGGGCAGCTGTCGAGGAAGCTCAAGAAGAAGGAGACGCCGAAGCGTGCAGCACTCTCTGAAGAGAAGCCTGATGCAGCAGCCACTAGAGCTAAAGCTAAGCCTTCCGGTGAGACTGAGCCTCCAACCCGTCGCAAGCGCAGGAAGGCCGAGGCCTAGGTTTTGTCTGAATTTTGAAAGCTTCAGGCTTCAGATGGGTCCCAGTAGTTCCGGATACCAATATCGCGGTCGGTTCCATGCAATCTAATCCAGCTAGAGCCAAAAACCTTTAACCCTGAGAAGCTTTTCTGCAGCTACTGTCAGGGCACCAGCAGTTGTTGCAGCAAGGAGCCAGTGGAAAGATTGGGCTAGACTCTGAATTGTATTACAAGAGTTGCTTCGGCTCACGCTGCATGAAATCACAACTCGCTGCCGTTCCATCCATAGTGCAATATTGCAGTGAGAACCAATTTGTCGGCGTGCAACAAAAATCCTGTGCTGCTTCGAGAGTTGAGGTCATTGTTTAATCGGGAACGAACAAGACCTGTTGCCAGGGAGAGATGATGCTCCGAGTGACCAAGCTCGAATCCTCGCGGGGACTTTGGGCAGTGGAGCTCGGGCCTCAACTTGATCAAGGATTCCTTGGGAAGTGTTCGGAGCCACAGCATGTTACAGCCTAACTCGTCTGTGTCTGGTGCAAAGTACAGGGGATTGTTACAGAGTTGGGCCCAAGCAGTTGACTGGTGTTTGCATGCTTCATTCAGCTATGTGGCCTGTGATTCCTATGATTTCGATACTAGAGATTTATCTGTCTTATGTTCAATAAACCTTGTAGATGGTCTAAAGGGTTTATGGCGATCCTAAACCCACGCCCTAAGCTAAGCTCGTCCCTAAGTTTAGGATAATGCCCATAATGCAGAACCGGCCAAGCTCCCGAAGCAATGGCCTCCCAATCGAAGAACCGATATCTGGACTTCATGGCCCAACATCCTCTCCTGTTTCCCTGGGGCAGCGACGACGAGGAAGAGCGACAGCGCAGTCGTAGTCCACGAGGCCTCGATGTGAAGGCATCGAGCTGTTCGTCGGAGCCGCTAGAGTCGGATGATTCTTCTTGTCTGCTTTGGAAGCTACCGAATCGTCCATTGCTGGCTGGTAGGGTTCTCGAACACTGCCAAAAGATGATTCATCGCCTACGTCTAGAAGCCGGGGGAACTGAGCTGGTGATCTACAAGATCGGCATCACACACGATTGTTCATCACGGTTCGAGCTGTACAAAGAAAAGGGGTGGGACCAGATGACAGTTATGTACACAAGTGACAATTTAGGACTTGTGGAAATGCTGGAGGCTGCACTCATTTCTCACCACTCTGGTACAAAGCAGTGCCGAAATGTGGCCAGGGGTGGTGAAGGAATGAGAGATAGGAGCTTGAATCCCAAATTCGATCCTCCCTACTTTTGCTATTGTGTTGTAGCCAGGGCCGATCGTGCACGATGGGTTTTGTGAAGTACAAGCAAAGGGTGACCGGCTTGACTTGCTGCTGAGAAAACAAAACACGACGTCAGCTGTTGTGTTGCACTGCTTTGCACTTCACTAAGTCTTGCCTCTGAAGCTTAAATGATCCCCAAGCCAATGTGGCCAAGGCCGCGGCGAAACACGTCGTGACGATTGCCGAAGCCTTCAGTGGAGAGAGCGATTGTCCAGCGCTTGCTGATATGGCTAAGTGCCCAAAGAATGATGCCGAGAAGGCCCTGCAGTCTGTTTTGCAGAAGTTTGATTTGACTCTGAATGTGCCGACTACAAAGAAGACCTTTGCTGAGAATGTTACACTACCAGTCCTGCTGCCAGAAGATTTTATCAGAACCTTATCTGAGAAGGGTTTTTTGCACCATCTCCTTGGGGGATCTCTTGAGAGCTGAGCCTTTGGTGGCAATCAGTTTCAATCTTTTCGTTATTGTGATGGTAGCTCAAGTTCAACTGCCAGAGTGCTTCATACATCCCAAATCAGAGCTCAAAGATAAGGCCCCCACCCGGTACAGAACTGCATACACAACATAATCGATAGCCCCAATCTGAATCCTCGGTTACTTGACTATAAAACACAAATCACAAGCCCAAACCTTGAGGCCGACCATCTCTGCTTATTTGACCCAACCCAAATCGATGAAGCCCCAACTCCTTGAACCCCTTACAACCCTAACTAGAGCCCGTCCTATATCAATGAATGACAAGCCCTTATTTTTCAATCAATGACAAGCGCTTCCAACCCTAAAACAAAACCTCGAACCCTACAGTCGTCTTGGGGTCTAATATAGGAGGGGTCGGTGGTCGGCATGGATTGCTCAGGTGGGCCGAGACTACAAGAATTCTGGAGCCGCTACAGGGCATGGATGCCTGACCACGAGATGTGGACGCATTCTCACTTTGACACTTCAGCTTTGGTTCCGCTTATGGTTCATGGGGATGGCGGGCGTACGTTTAAGAAGGACGAATTGATGGTGGTCCAATTTCAGCCAGTGCTTGGATTCGGGACCCGGATATCACACCCACTGCCGAAGCCAAACAATCCTGGTGTGAACCTTGGAAAGCATACCTTTACCACGAGGTTTTTATATGGAGTCTTGCACAAAGCAGTGTACAAAGAGGACCCATCGAGCTTCACACGCTTTTTTGATACCTTCATGGAAAACCTCGCGGCATTGTACCATCGCGGCCTCAATCTGCAGAACAAGCATTTGCATTTTCTGGTCATTGGTGTCAAGGGTGATTTACCCTTTCTCCAAAAGGCCGCCCATCTGGAGAGAACATTTCTAAATGTACGCAAGGCGCCAGAGAAGGCCAGCAGTAAACCATTAAGCGGGTGCTGTCACCTATGTTTGGCTGGCACAGCTCGGTTTCCATTTGAAGAGTTCAACCGGGCCCCGAAATTTGTGGAGACCATGGGAGCATGCAACCCTTATCCATGGAGCCAGTTGCCACCATTTGTGGAGTACATTCCGCATGTGAGGGCAAACCCGGCAGCACTGCTTCGCCTTGATCTGATGCACATTGTGCACCTGGGGGTGGGCCGGGATTATACAGGTTCCTCGTGTGTTGTGATGCTCGGCCTCTACGAGGATGCCACGTCTGTGTCGGAAGCGATTGATTGTCTATCACGTGATTTGAAGCAGTTTCTACGAGCAACGAAACGCCAACTTCATTTCCGATGCCTTTCACGTGATATGCTTGGATATGCCAATGAATCTTCGTTTCCGACAGGTCACTGGTCGAAAGCTGCTGATACCCCTGTCATGTTTGAGTTCATCATTTGGCTGTTGGAGCAACATTCAAGCAAGCGCGACCAAGACAAACTTTTGCGGGTCATTGCTGCTGGAGCGCATGCTATGGGCATTTTCATGCGCACTGTGCTCGGTGCTGGTTTATGGCTTACGCGAGACGAGGCGAGTGCCGCCTCTGAGTCTGGACATCACTTTTTGGCCTGCTACAGCAAATGTGCCAGCATATGCTTTGAGCGCAAGAAATGCAGGTACAATTTGACGCCGAAGCTTCATTTTTGGCATCATATTTGCTTGCAGCTGCAGCAGGATTTATCCAGAGCTCCACCTTTGCAATTCTTTCCAAGTCCCTTATGGGACGCGAACTTCGCCGATGAAGACTTTGTGGGACGAGTTAGTCGCTTGAGCAGGCGCATAAGCCCAAGGTTGCAGAGCCTGCGCACAATAGGACGTTATCTGAATGCCACCAGGCAACAGCTCCGTGCGAGCCAGAGGGACTAGGGAGTATAGCTACCAGCTACAATCCTAAACTTTACGTCCTAAACCCTTGACCCCAAGCTTCCAAACCCTCTGACTCCCGGGATGCTGGCCTCCATGAGCGATGGTGATCGAGATCGAGCTCAAAGAAGGCTTAAGCGTGGCTTCTTTTAAGATTCGGGTTTGGGTTGGTAGCTTCTGGGAAATTCAGGTTCCGGTTTTTTTTCAGGGGGCTTCGGATCTGAGGCTCAGAGTTTCAACTTCTGGAGGTTCGAGCCTCATTTGACTGAGGCCACTACAACAGCCAACATCTCCCAACAACCCCAACAACCCCAACAATCCTCAAAATCCTTAATCCTAAGCTTTTCCAAAACGAAACCCAGACCCCAAACCTCACCTAACGCTTAGCTTTGCTCCCTCGAAGGTAAATAAGCTTCTCCGAACCAACCCTCCCCTCAACGACCCACCAAAACCCGGTTATCTTAGAGCGGCTAATAATAAGCGGCCGAGGCAGGTAGCCGGTATAAATTATAGTTGCTGTGTTCATATCTACGGCACGTAGTTATAGTACAAGTTTTCTGATGTTTTTTCTGTTTACTTTTCTATGTGACCTAATTCTGCTGAAAGCATTACGCGTTTCGTTGGTGGGTAATTATCCGCCGGCGGGTCCATGCCGACGGGTACCCGCGGGCGGGACGCGGCTTCGTCCATCAGTGTCGGCAATGCTTTGTTTCAACTTCTTCAGGGAGAAGCAGTAATTTAACTGCCGCCGCACCCGGGCTAGTGTTTGCCATGTAGCCACCTTCTCCAACAAAATTACATCATAACAGTCGAAAAGGCTAGTTGCAACTAGAGCTCATAACTCCGTTATTAGTGGTCCTCCGAAGCATGCATTTCTACATATATGAATCTAGTTGAGGGATGGCGATTAGAGCTGGGTCCTCTTCGGGTGTAGGGGCTTGAGGGTAAGTGAGGCTGCAAGGGAGGCTTCGGCTTTTATTCGCAAGATCGAGCAAGGAAATGATGAGGTAAACTGCCACGACGATGCAACCCACAGAGTCCACAGTTCAATTGAAGCAATGGTTCTCGTCGATGTGGTCTTCCAGCTGGATGTATAAGCATATATATATATATTATTTATATCAGTTTTCATTTATCAAATGTGAAAATTATTCCCTACAGAAAGATTTTTCGTACAAGCCCAAATTAGGACCCAATTAGGGTTTAGGATTTATAGGATTTTAAGTTTAGGGCTTAGGAGTTGAGGTTTAAGGTTCAGGATTGAAGGTTTAGGGTTTAGTTTGGGGTTTAGGGCTTAGTCTTGGTTTAGGGTCCGGGATTTAGGTTTTAAGCGGCTGTTGAAGTTGGAGGTTTGGCCTTGTGCTGAGCCTCAGACGTCAGGCTGGCAGTCGCGGAGTTTTAAAGATGTAAAGGGCTTCGAGGTCATATAGCGGCCTATATAATTACCAACCCCAAAACCCTGTTCGAATTATTGAGGCCCACATATTATATGGCCCTGAAGAAAAGACTTTGTCAACAGGACCTAACATCACATAAGACCATGTCCGTGCAGCGACGAGCCTTGCTGCTCTTTGTATCTATTTTGATCCCGCCACCAGCATGCGACCTGTGAAAGGTCACCTACTAGCCTAGTAGTTACTAGCGTTGCAATTGTGACTAGTTGGGCTTTCCTGGTATGGATTCGGAAGTATGATGTTGGGATGCTGAATTTTATATTTTGCCAAGGAAGGCATTGACTTACTAGGGTTAGCACAGCCGTTCCTTCCAAAGGTGCATCAGAGCTGCGATTCAGGCTCGGCAAATGCCGCACTCCACACCGAATGCGCCAGATCCTCAAGCCCGCAAGAGGCCAGCAGCCGAGAGAACCTTCAACCCACATGAGACCTTGAAGTACAAAGCAGGAAAAGCTCAACCCTAAACCCTAAACCCCACATAGGCCCTACATCCTAAGATGTTGTTTCTACACCGGCTTCTCGGAGGAGTCTGAAAAGAAGCTTTTCGATTCCGCTCGGCGGCGCCGTTCGCGTCACGAGCACCAAGGAATCCTTCGATTGCAGAGGGTAGGGTTTAGGGTTTGGGGTTTGGGGTTCGTTCTGCGGAGCTGGTTAAACCCTTCCTTCCCCACATAGGTTTTGAATTTCAGGAGCTTGATGTTGTTTCGGACTTTCCTGTAGTGGACATGGCAAGAGGAATGAATGCACCTTGACGGTTGCTTGTGTTTTTGTGCGGCTGGCAGTGGTGCTCAGCGGCCGCAGCGATGGCTGTGATGGCGACCAGGATGGATTTGTGGCTGTGGCGGTGGTCCTGGTTGGTGTTGTTGCTACTGCTGTTCTTGCCGTTGGTGTCGGGCTCCTTGCCAGTCACATCGCTGCTATGGTCACACACGTGCTACCCGCAATGTCCCGAAGCGCTACAGCCATCACAAGTGTTAAGAACTGAAGCCAAAGTATTTAAGATGTTTCTGGTTGAATAAGCAGACATTGCTAAAGCCACAAGAGAACTGAAAGTTTTTTGGCTTTCTCCAGGAGAGGGAGCTCGTCAACTTCTTCTCACAAGCGGCTCGATGATCGATGGTTGCTGTAGTTTACAGTGCCGGCTGTGGGGTTTAGGGATTCGGGTACTTAAACGATCATAGGACTTCGTAACGGTTAAACGAAAGGTAACGACACTTATGATGACCTATACCCCCAGTTGAGGTACTTACAGCCTTACTTACTAAGTCCCATGATCCTCCAATTGGGGTTGGATTTTGATTGTCGGGTTGGGGACGATTCCCGGAGCCTCGTAGTTGGACGCTTGCAAGCCCTGAGTCCTAATTCCGAACCCCGGAAACCTTCGAACGCCAAGGCGTTCCTCCACCCCAGACCCCTAAACCCCAAAACTTGAACCGGCTATACACCTCCGAAGCCCTGTGTGAATGACCTCAAACCCGAAACCCCCAAACTTTACGCCCCTAAACCCCCATAAACCCTAAACCCTAAGAAGGCTTTTGAGTTCCAAAAAGGTCGGCGAGCTGACGATGGTCCCTTTCGGTCGGCTGTATCGGCCTGAGGCCGTCTGAACTCCACGCTTACAAAAAGGGCGATACTCAGTTTAGGGTTTAGGGTACTCAGTTTTTTGAGTCTTGAGATGGTGACTGGGAATGTATCGGACTACTGTGCACTTCAGCCAGACTTAGAAATTGCACATAATGCCCTCCCTGATTCGAAATCCTAATCTTAGATAGCCAGTGGCAGAGCTTTAAGCTTTTCGGCCTTATATATTTGGTCTATCTTAGAAAGTTTGAACATGTCGAGGCCCGGTGCATGAAACAAGCCGGCAAAACGACAACCAGGGCATCCGGGTTGGCTACGTGCCTGCTGTGGCATTGCGAACTCCACATACCAAGGTCGTCGAGGACCCACTGATGGTTTGCCTTGGATTTTGACATTGGGGTTGCAGGCTCGGGGCTTTAGGGTTCGGGTTCAGGGCCCAATTTGTGGGTTCAGGGTTGATGGTTTAGGCTTCTGGGGCTACAATCCATAAGAGTAGTTAGTTTGTACTTCCCATAGCCAAGACTTGGACAGGGATGGACAGGGATGTGCAAATGGCAGCAGTACTTACAACAGCATCAGTCCTCACAGCAGCATTGGCTGCATTCCTGATATGCATTCTACTGTTACCTCGAGTTTCGCAGCATGAAAGGTGGTATCAATCAAGCAGCGAAATCGATAATACGCGAAATCGATAATACTAACTACTAATTACTAACAATAATCCCTAGGTTCAGGCAGAATTACCATCCTTGCCCGCACCGCCCGGCGAAGGCCCAACCCCAAACCGGCTAGAGCTAGAGATCTGATACCACATCTCCAGGATTCAAAACTCCCTTTAGTAGAGTGCCTTAGATAGCCAATGGGAGAACTTTAAGCTTTTTGGCCTTATATATTCGGTCTATCCTAAAAAGTTTGAACTTTTTGGGGCCTGGTTGTTGAAGAAGAGAGGTGCAATCTGGAAACCACCCAGAAACTCACGGCTCAAGGAATCTCGGGGGCTAAGGTTCAGGGTCCATCACGGCTAGGGACCCAGGGATCCTCCCCTTTGGAAATGAGCTGTCGTCATAAGTAGGAAGCGCACCGAAGTAACAAAGCCTTCATGAGTGTGATAGGAGATCGAAGACGGTTGCCCCATCACCTTGGCAGATGGTGAGTGCGAGAGATTAGTCCACCTGTGTCTCGGCAGCAGTCGGTTTCTGAGGGTTCAGAAAGTCAGGAGAAAGGGGGTCTGGTCACGGGGTTTTGAGCATTGCGGTTGAAGGTTTGAAGTACTTTAGCTCTATACCTCAATCCTAAAACCCTACACACCCCAAAGCCATGGAGAAGTCAGACTACATTACGAGATACACTGCCTGTCGTCAAGTTCCGCACGGGTCTTCGGACGTTAGGAATTCACGGGTTTCAGCCTCTCGGCTTTTCCGCGAGAGTCGCAGAGGGTGCTCCATGCAGAAGGGTGCTGCTGTACTTTAGTAATTTAGATATCTCAATCCTACCTTAAACCCCATCTCAGCCGACCGGCTGGAAGTCAAAAAGCTAAAGTCAACGCCTTCATGAAGTAAATATAAAAAATTTCAACACACTCAACCCTCAATCCCAAACCAACCAACCACCCCAAATATTGCAGAAACCCTAAACCCCAGACTCAGTTCTGGCACTTACCTTCGAGCTACGAGCACATGGCCATGCGAAATCTTGTAAGAGATCATCCCTCAAACCTGACACCCTAAACGCTGAACCCATGAGCCCCTAAGCCCTAAACCCTTACACGCGAAACCCTGCCTGAAGGTTGGAAATCACCCCGACGAAGAGGCGAGATGGGCTGATCAGCTCTAGAAAAGGTTTGGAGACAAGTTCCCACAGCGAAAGACACGGTGTAGGGCTTAGAGTTTACCCACAGCCTCAACCCTAAACTCCTAAACACCTAAACTACATAGAAAAAACCCAAAACCCCGCAAGGCCAAAAATCCT